AACATCGTCCTGTGGACTGAAGGGTTCAGGTTCCATCCTGGTCAAGGGCACGGACCTCGGTTGGGGGCTCTGGGCCCTGGTTGGGGCTTGTGCAGGAGGCAACCAATCGGTGTGTTTCTCTCACATCGAAGTTTCTCTCTGTCTCTCCCTCTGTCTTCCACTCTCCCTAGAAATCAGTGGGGAAATATCCGCGGGTGAAGAGAAAAAAAATCCTCATTCCCATCAGTGGCTTTTTATTTTCTTCACCTTCTTGGCCAACAAGAGAGAAACTGGACACTGGTGGCCTCGTTACTAACCTGCTCTCCCCAGAGGGGGAGGGAGGTACTCAGGGGACTTTAGGAAGGACAGACTGCAAACAGAATCCAGCAGCTTATTTAACAAGTCCCTGTTGAGACCGTCAAGAACACCTATCGATAAATTTCTCCGACTCGGTTTGCAGAAGAGCCGCGTATGCAGATGCGCTCCGCCCGGCCCTCTGGCCTCCGCAGCCCTTGGCAGCGGGGCAGGAGATGTGTTAATTCCGGGCGGCCAAGTCCTGGGGTGCGGGCACAGGGTCCCGCTTTTAAACGCGCCTTCCTCTGGGGGAAGCCGGAGCCCGGGGGCTCTGCCTCTGCCTGCGCCCTTGGTGGGTTGACCCCTGAGGGGTGGGCGTCCTTCCCCATGGCGGGCTGACCTGTCATTCCTGAGACTGCCTTTTCCTTCGGGAGCTGCCCTGGTCCCTGCACGCACGGCTGTCCCCTGCCCTTGTCCTGGGCCGAAAGGCTTCATTCTCTTTTCCATAAAAGACTGGAGCCGGGCTGGTGTGGCTCAGTGGTTGAGCACTGACTTATGCAGCAAGAGGTCACTGGTTCGATTCCCAGTCAGAGCACGTGTCCGGTTTGCAAGCTCGGTCCCCAGTAGGGGGCATGCAGGAGGCAGCCAGTCGATGTTGATGCTTCTCTCATTCATGTTTCTCTCTCTCCTGCTCCTTTCCTCTCTCTCTAAAAGCAGTAGAAAACATTTTTAAAAAGGACTGTGGGAAAGCCACAACCAAGCAGACACTGAGACGGATGTGTGGGCGCATGCATCTCTGATGCTATCAGCAGGGTCGTCACTGCACGCCTCAGGGATTCAGAGAAGGCCTGAGACCTGGCGACAGGGTGCTCTTGTCATTTGTGGCTGAAGACACGGAGAGCTCTGACATATGGTCCGCACAGAGCAGGCCACCTCATACAGTGATCCCTGTTCACCGTGCCCCATGTCCCCAATGCTCACATTTCCCAAATCTGTAATAACACATCACAACCAGGGTGTGGACTGCAGTTCGCCAATTATAACTCAGAGGTCCCATTTTCGCATGTGTTACCCTGACGTATATGTGTTAAGTTCTACACAATTGCATCACTTAAGTTCATGCACCCACTACCACAGCTAAGACACAGAACAGTCTCAACATTGCCAACCTCACCTGGTCAGCATTTCATCATCACCTCCATCTCCTTCTGCTCCACTGGTCCCTGAATGACAACAATTGTCTGTATTGCTTCTGCAAAACTGTGTCATTGTAGCAATGCTGCACACTCCCACCTGTGACACTGTCACTGTAGCAATGCTGCACACTCCCACCTGTGACACTGTGACACTGTAGCAATGCTGCATAATCCCAGCTGTGACACTGTCACTGTATTGATGTTGCACACTCCCAGCTGTGACACTGTCATTGTAGCAACACTGCATCCAGAAATCATACACTGCGTGACCTTCTTTGATTGCGTGTTCTCACTCGGCACAGCACCCTGAGTGCTGGTTGCTTCAGTGGATCTTTCCTACTGTCTCTCCCTCCCTCTTCCACTCTCCCTAAAAGACAGGGGGAAAATATCCCCTCAGGGGATGCGCTTCTCCACTTTCTTTCGTTCTCACCTGGGCTCTGACAGTCAGGGTTTTGTAAGAACCAGTGCTTTCTAGAATGAGGCCACGTGCCTCCAGAAAGCCCTGCACCAGGGGAAGCTGCATTGCTGGCAAACAGGACTGTGGGAGACGGTGGCTCAGGTGGGAGCCCATGGGGCACACCCGGTGCCGGTGAGAGCGTATTCCTTCCTGAGTCTAGTCCATAGAGTGGGTGGCCCGCAGTCTGACGCTCAGGCCTGAA